TAGGGCAAAAGCCTAACCAGGTGGATTGAGAAGAAAATGGAAGGTAATAAGTAAAAATATTTAGTATAGACAATGCTTTGGGGGTGCTTTTCTATAAAGGGGAGCAGAGAAATGGGCAATAGTGCAAGAGGAATGTAGTGTTGTGTGTCTGTGTGCCTGTGTATGTGTGTACACACCAAAATGATCCAGTAGAGAGTGAGGATTAATGATGTAAGAAGGTGGAGACTGGAGCTACATCCTTGAGTTGGCCAGAGGCAAAGAGATGGAAAGCGCGAGAGAAGGGGTTGACCACAAATAAGAGCAGGCAGAGTATTTGGGTACCGGTGTGTAGCTGGACTCCATCATGTGGCTTAACATCTGCGAACCAGGCTGGACGACTAATCCTCCCCTTCAATTCCTGTGGCCCTTTATCCATAGTCTCTAGTGGCTCTGACCACTTTCTGATTTGCATAACTAATATCAGAGATACCTGGTGGAAGTAGAAATACATTCTTCAAATCCCTAATGACTTCTGACCCCTCTAGGTTTTGCCCAGAAAGGGCACACCATGACACTCCGGTAGACATAACCTGGCAGTGACCTTGTCTGGTATTTTCTTTAAAATACCAGTCACTGAATCATAGAATCACTGATGTAGGGGTGGACGGATCTAAGACCACCTAGTCCAGCTCTCTTATTATAAGAGGAAACCGAGGCTCAGGAGGGGAGGTGTTTGCCCAATTCCAGAGTTGGTGGCCGATCTGGGACTAGAACCCAAGGCCATGACTCCTTCTCTAAGCTCTCTGCAGCACCAAGCAGCATTTGCCCTGTGCTCTGGAGCCAGGGTGCAGCCCTGACCTAAGAGATGGTGCAACGAGCACAATGGCACATGTGCTGAACACATAAACAAGGGACTTTAAAGGCACAAAATGTTTTTGTGGCATCACATTTCCTGCCAAGGTCTGCTGAGGTGGGTCTACATTTTGCAGTGAACCCAGTTCCAAGCATGCCACACTATCTTCAAAATCCCTCCCCAAACAGGTTGTCTCATGCACTACCAGAGGGAGGAGACGTTGGGACAGATTTTGTAGGGAGCAATCTGGCAGATTCTAATAAAATCTGAAACCTGCAAACCTTTCACCTAGCATTTTCACATCTAGAAATTTTTCCTAAGACTCACTAATGAAAGCACGCAAAAATATATGTGCAAGGCCATTCACAGCGGCTTTGTTTATAATCACAAAATTCATAAATAATGTGTGCACATGCATTTTAGTCACCTTGGGGTAAGTGACTGGGAAGATTTCATTTTTTATATCATATACTTCTGTATTGCTTGAATTTGTTATGAATATGTATTCCATTTATTCTTTATTTAAAATATTTTTTCTTTTATTGATTTAAATTTTTTTTGCATGTGGAACCATCACAATTACTTATTTCCAAAACTTTTTCATCACCCAAACAGAAACTCTATACCCATTAATCAATAACCTTCATTTCCCCGTCACCCCGCCCCCAGATCCTGGTAACCAGAAATCTGCTTTCTGTCTGTATGTGTTTGCCTAGTCTAAATATTGCACATACATGGGATCATACAGTATTTGTCCTTTTGTCTCTGACTTCTTTCACTTAGCATGTTTTCAAGCTCCACCCACGTTGTAGCATGTATCGGAATGTCATTCTCTTTATGGCTGAATACTCTTCCCATTGCAGATATAAAAAACATTTTGTTTATTCATTCTTCTGTTGATGGGCATTTGGGTTGTTTCTACCTTTTGGCTGGCTACTGTGAACAATGTTCCAAAGAACATTGCTGTACAAGCATCTGTTTGAGCCCTGCTTTCAATTCTTTTGGATATATGGTAATTCTGGGTCATGTGGTAATTCTATGTTTAACTCTTTGAGGAATGCCAAACTATTTTCCACAGTGACTGCACCATTTTACATTCTCACTAGCAACAAAGCTGGAAATCACAGTTCTCACAGCAGAAGGAAGAAACAAATATGGAACGGAAGAAGCAAGGGAGAATGCTGCTGTTCTGAACTAGGACAGAAGCTCAGCATAAATTCATGATAATTATTGTGTGTCTGTCTGTGTGTGTATGTTGTTGTTGTGTATGATGTTGTTGTTGTTAGGTGCCGTCGAGTCAGTTCCAGCTCATAGCGACCCTATGTACAACAGAATGAAACACTGCCCGGTCCTGCACCATCCTCACAAGCACTGCAAAGCTTGAGTCCACCGTTACAGCCACTGTGCCAATCCATCTCGTTGAGGGACTTCCTCTTTTTCACTGACCCTCTACTTTACCAAGCATGATGTCCTTCTCCAGGGACTGGTCCCTCCTGATAACATGTCCAAAGTACGTGAGACGTGGTCTTGCCATCCTTGCTTCTAAGGAGCATTCTGGTTGTACTTTTTCCAAGACAGACTTATTCGTTCTTCTGGCAGTCCATGGCATATTCAATATCCTTCACCAATGCCACAATTCAAAGGCATCCATTCTTTGGTCTTCCTTATTCATTGTCCAGCTTTTGCAAGCATATGAGGTAATTGAAAATATCATGGCTGGGTTCAGGTGCACCTTAGTGTGTAAAGTGACATCTTTGCTTTTAAACATCTTAAAGAGCTCCTTTGCAGTAGATTTGCCCAATACAATATGTAGTATGATCTCTCAACTGCTGCTTCCACGGGCATTGATTGTGGATCCAAGTAAAATGAAATCCTTGACAACTTTAATATTTCCTCCATTTATCATGATGTTGCTTATTGGTCCCGTTGTGAGGATTTTTGTTTTCTTTATGTTGAGGTGTAATCCATACTGAAGGCTGTAGTCTTTGATCTTCATCAGTAAGTGCTTCACATCCTCTTCGCTTTCAGCAAGCAAGGTTGTATCATTTGCATATCTCAGGTTGTTAATGAGTCTTCCTGTAATCTGATGCCATGTTCTTCATCATACACTCCAGTTTGGTGTGTGTATACACACCAAAAAAACCCAAAATCAACAAAAAAATCTGTTGTCATCGAGTCCATTCTGACTCATGATGACCCCGTGTGTTACTAATATAGTAACTGCTCCACAGGGTTTTCTTAGCTGTAATCTTTATGGAAGCAGACTGTCAGGCCTTTCTTCTACAGCACCACTTGGGTGGGTTCAAATCATCAACCTTTAGGTTAGCAGCCGATTGCAAACTGCTTGCACCACTAGGGACCTGTACATATACACCAAACCAAAACCCAAACACACTGCCATGGAGTTGATTCTGACTCATGGTGACCCCAAAGGACATAGCTGAACTGTCCCATAGCGTTTCCAAGGCTGTGAATCTTTATGGAAGCAGACTGCCACATCCTTCTCCTGTGTAGTGGCTGATGGGTTCAAACCGTAGACCTTTTGGTTAGCAGCCAAGTGCTTTAACCACTGAGCCACCAGGACTTGCTGTATATACATACACACACGATATATTTTTAGGAAATGTACATAGGTGGTAGATAGATACGGTGAAACCTGTGAGAGCTGGGACTGCCTTGTTTTTCCAGGTCTTGTAAGTTTTCGCCTTTGACAGGGTGCCGTCTTACCACTTTTCTATTGCTTGTTTTAGTGGAAAATATTTGAGATTTCCTTCCTTGACAGGTTTCCAACTTACACAGGTTCCGGCTTTCACAGGTTTTACTGTATAAAGAGATACAGATATCATGTGTGCATATGTGTATATGTGTGTGTGACTATATACACATCTTCTAGCTCTGTCCACTGAAAAGCTTAGAAGCAACAATGTTCCATTAGCAATGAGCACATTTAATGCCCAGATCTTGGTTTCTAAATTCCATGGAAAGAAACCAGGTAAAGATATATGTCTACACAGAGACATGAATATAAATATTCACAGCAGCATTATTCATAATAATAAAAAACTAGAAACAATCCAAACATCCATCAACTGGTGAATGGATTTTTTAAATGTGTTACATCCAAACAGTGGAATACTATTCAGCCATAAGAAGGAATTAAGTACATGCTACAATGTGGATGAACCTCAAAAACATTATGCTAAGTGAACAATACCTGGTGCAAAAGACTCCACATTATGTGATTCCATTTATATGAAAGGTCCAGAAAAGGTAAATCTAATCAGACAGCAAATCAGTGGTTGCCTAGGCTGGAGGTGGGCCTGGTATGAACTGCAAATGGTGATGAGGGAACTTTCTGGAGTGACGTAAATGTTCTAACAGTGGATTGTGGTGACTGTTGCCGAACTCTCTTAACTGAGAAACCAAAAAAAACAAAACCTGTTGCCATCGAGTCGATTATAACTCACAGCGACCCTATAGGACAGAGCAGAACGGCCCCATAGGGTCTCCAAGGAGTGGCTGGCGGATTTGAACTGCCGACCTTTTTGTTAGCAGCTGAATGCTTAACCATTGCACCACCAGGGCTCCAAACTGAGAAAAATGTCCCCTAATTACTTCTGCAGCCACATGTCCCAACGCTTCCCTTTATATACCCTAAAGTCACCTGATGTGCCCAGAAGGAGTCTCCTGCTTCCAAGCCTTTCCTCAGGGTATTCCTTCTGTCTGAACGGTCTTCCTCCCAGTCTCCACCTATCACAACATTACTCATTCTCCATGCCCAGAACAAATGCCACCTCTTCTGTGATGTCAGAATCAGTGCCTTCCTTCTCTGCCCTCTCACTGCACACTCCTTGCACATCCCCGAGAGCCAGCCGTCTTCACTCTTATTCTTCCAGCTGTGTCTGTGCACAGCTGCCCCCTCATGGCAGGACAGTGAACTCCTTGGGGGCAGAGATCTGACCTTATTCTTCCACAGCACCTAGCAAAGTGCCCAGCACATCATTAGCATTTGGTCTATGAATAAATGAATGAACGAGTGGGCAAAGCTATGAACAGGCAAGACTGAAGTCAACAGAAAAGGTATAGACTACTGTTAGGAAAGCAATTAAACTGCAAAACAGCGACTGCACATAAGGGACAATGATAAAGGCGCTGACCCATCTCTTACCTTCAGCAAGCAGCCGGCAAACACGAGGAAGCCTTGTGAGTACAGGTGATTGGCCAGGGTGAACCCAAACCCAGAGTCACAGCCTGTGATCAGGACGGCCTTGCTGCCAACCTGTTTTAGAAGGCCAGACCCCATGTTAGCAACCCAGGGTCCTAAGGGCAAAGTGACCAGTCCTCCCCACCCTCTGGGCAGTAACAATTGACGCTTCCAGAACGGCCCAGGCCTGGCCCTTCCTGCTCAGCTCTCCTGTCTGGAGAAGCACTACGGTAGACTGCAGAAAGCTTGGACTCAGAATCAGGGCATCAGGCTTTAACCCAGACTATGCCACCAACGAACAGTGTTGCTTGGGGCAGTTACTTCCCCTTTCTGGATCTCCTTTTCCTCGTCTACAGTCACCATTATCGCCACCATCACCACCACCACCATCATCAAAGCTTATGTTTATTGAGTATTTGCCATTCCAAGTCCCTTTGTATATATTACTCTTATTTAATCCTCACAACAACGCCATAACTATGATTATTATACCATGTTACAAGTGAGGAAACACATTTTTCTAAACCCAGTGTAGTTAGTGGTAGAACTGAAACTGAAACCCGGACTGAGAGATTCCAGAGTACAAACTCTTAACCCCTAATTTCACTGAGAAAGCCTCTGCAAATTCAATGTCTTAGCCCCCAGTAATGCTGCATGTCAAATGAGAAAGTGGCCACAAAGGTCCTGAAAGGTGTAAAGTCATACTCTGAGGGTGGCTCAGGGCCTGGGGCCCCAGGGAAGGGCTCAGACCACCCGACTGGTTTCCAGGGGGCTGGGCGCCTACTCACCGGGTTCACCTGATTTGTGTAAGTTCGACACCTGACAGGAGCAGAGGTAGAGGAAAACAGCAGTGTGTGACTGCAAGAGAAAATGAAGCCATGAGCACAGGCTGTGGTCATCCCCTAGACCTTGTTCCTGGGGCAAAGCAACTCAGAGGGCCCTCAGCTGCCACCCAGCCAAAAGCAGCACTGACTGTCTCTCCACCCCAAACTCCTGGGGACACCCTGATAGTACTGTTGATAAGGCAGCCCTCTCCCCACCAGGGCTGCTAGGCTGATAGAAAGGGGGCCAGCAGTGGCAGTGGGCATCTTTGCCATGGTGCAGGAAGGACCTTCCCGAGAATAAAGCCCATCCAGAAGCTACTTCTGTTGGCAGGCCCTGGCAAATCCTCACTGTCCTTGTCCCACCACAATAAAGTTCCATCTTCTGCTTTCCAAGATGACAGACAGGAAATACTTCAGACTAATTCAGGTGTGGACTATCCTTCCAAATGTATAGCTTTATTAAGAAAGCTTCTGCAAATTCAATGTCTTAACCCCCACACGCGGGGGCACCATGAGTCAGAATCAACTCAGTAGTAACTACCAACAATCAGCTTAATGCTTAATGCTGTTTCCTGATAGTTTTTTTAAATTAAACTTATTTTGACATATTGTAGATTCACAGAGGGTTTTAAGAAATAATACAGAAAAATGCTGTTACATTTTACTCAATTTCCCCCCAATGGTAACATCTTGTAAAACTATAGTGCACTATCATAAGCAGGATATTGACATTGATACAGTCAAGATACAGAACATTTCCATCACCACAAGGATCCCTCATATTGCTCTTTTGTAGCCACACCCACTTCCCTACCACTCCTGAAGTTGTGGTTACCCCTAGTCTGTTCTCCATTTCTACTATTCTGTCATTTTGAGATTGTTATATAAATGGAATCATCCAGTATATATGGGATTGGCTTTTTTCACTCAACATAACTCTCTGGAGATTCATCCAGATTGTTGCACATATCAATAGTTCTTTTCTATCCATGGTATGGATGCACCTGAGTTTGTTTACCCATTTACCTGCCAAAGGACATCTGGGTTATTTACTGTCTGAGGCTATTATGAATAAAGCTACTACGGACATTCATGTAGAGAGGTTTTTGTGTGAACATAAAGTTTCATTTCTCTGGAATAAATGCACAGAAGTGTAATTGCTGGTATATGACAGCTGCAGGTTTAGTTAAGAAACGGCCCAACTGTTTTCCAAAATGGCTGTACCCATTTTACATTCCCACCAGCAATGCGTGCGTCACCAAGTTTCCCCGCATCCTCGCCAGCATTTAGTGTGGTCACTATTTTTTACTTCAGTCATTCTGAAGTGCAGTGATATCTCACTGTGGTTTTAATTTCCATTTCCCAAATGGCTAATGACGTTGAACATCTTGTCATACGCTTGTTTGCCATCTGTATATTGTCTTTGGTAAAACGTCTCTTCGTGTCTTTTGCTTGTTATCCATTTGGAGATTGTGCACTAGCTCTTTCAGCACAATGCTGAATAAGAGTGGTGAGAATGAATGTCATTGCTATATTCCCAGTCTTAAAGGAAAACACATTCATTCTTTTACCATTAAGTATAATATCAGCTATAAATTTTTTGTAGATGCTCTTTATCAAGTTGAGCAAGTTTCTCTCTATGCCTATTTTTCTGAGTTTTTTATCATGGACAGGTGTTGAATTTTGTCAAATGCTTTTCCTGCATTGATAGATATGATCATGTGATTTTTCTTCTTTGGCTTGTTAACATTATGGATTCTATTGATCTTCAAATATCAAACCATCCTTACATCTCATGAAAAACTCCATTTGGTCATGTTGTAGTATTCTTTTAATATATTGCTGAATTGTGTTTGCTAATATTTTAGGATTTTTACATCTATATTCATGAGGGATATTGGGCTGTAGTTGTACTGCCTTTGTCTGGCTTCGATATCAGGGTACTATTAGCTTCATAAGAAGTGTTACTGTTGGGTGGGGGTGGAGTTCTTGGCTTCTCACTAGGCTCCACTGATACCTCCCTATCTGAGAGTGGTCAGACTCACTCATTACTGTTGAGTGGTAGAGGAAGTCCTGAGTCTCTGTTATGGATCAAACTGTCCCCTAAAAACATGTGCTATAAATCCTAACCTCTAAACCTGTGGTTGGAAACCCTCGTGGGATAGTGGTTAAGAGCCACAGCTGCTGACCAAAAGATCGGAGTTCAAATCCACTAGGCCCTCCTTGGAAACCATATGGGGCAGTTCTATTCTGTCCTATAGGGTCGCTATGAGTTCGAATCACTCAACGGGCAATGAGTTTTTGTTTTTTTAAGCCTGTGGTTATAATCCCATTTGGGAACAGGTTGTCTTTGTTATGCTAATGAGGCAGGATTAGTGTAGGGTGTATCTTGAGTCAGTCTCTTTTGAGATATAAAAGAGATTAAACAAGCAATTGAGGAAGCAGGGAAGGGGAAGACAGATGCCAGGCCACATGATCTCCAGGGAACCAGGAAACAGAAGCTAAAGAGACAAGGCCCTTCCCCCAGAGCCAACCGTGAAAGCCTCCCCCAGAGCCATCGCCCTAAATTTGGACTCCTAGCCTCCTAAAGTGTAAGAAAATAAATTTGTTAAAGATGTGGTGAAACTGATGTCAAATTGTGTACTACAGATTAGTAAGTAAACACAAGTAAGCCTGTGTATACCTTACTTACTGGTTAATCTGTCCCTGCCTACGGGGCATTTCTGTTCTGTCGCATGGGATTGTCACGAGTTGGAATCGACTTGACAGCAGCTAACAACAACTGTAGGAGACAGAGGTGGGTGAAAGCTGATAACAAGGGAAAAGAGGTGGGAGATAGACTTTTTACTGTATACTATTTTGTACCATTTAAATTTTGTACCATGTGAATAAATTACCTATTCAAAATAGTAAGTTCTTTTGAACACTCAATAGAAACATGCTATCCAACATTCCTAAAGAATGTTGGGTTCACTAGAAGGAAATGTGGGTCCACCGGGAAACTCCTTTTCCTCCTGAACTGCCACAGAAGAGTCTCTTTGGATTTTAAATCCTTGCGCATGGACAGTCTTGTGTGTCAGGATGGTATGGTTAGTACATCCGAAGCTGGTTAAATGACTTTGTTGTTGTTGTGTGCTGTCGAGTCGAATCCAACTCATAGCAGCCCTATATGACAGAGTAGAACTACCCTATAGGTTCCCCAGGCTGTAATCTCTATGGGAGCAGATGGCCAAATCCTTTCTCTCCAGGAGCCACTTGGTGGGTAGGAACCACCAACCTTTTGGTTAGCAGCCAAGCACTTAACCATTGTGCCACCAGGGCTCCTTACCCACAATTACTCCATTTCCTTTTTTTTGAACATTTTATTGTGGTTTGGGTGAAAGTTTACAGAGCAAATTAGTTTCCCATTCAACAATTTATACACATTTTGTTTTGTCACATTAGTTGCAATCCCCTCAATGTGACAGCACTCTACCCCCTTCCTTCCTGAGTTCCCCATTTCCTGCACCTTCTTGCCTTTTGAACTTTGTTTGGGGGCAAATGCTTCCCTTTTGATCTCATATGGTTGATTGTTCTGAGGAGCGTATTCCTCACAGGTGTTACTGTTCACTTTATAGGCCTATTGTTTGGCTGAAAAACGATTTCTGGGAGTGGGTTCTGTTCCAGGTGTGAAGGGTGTCTAAGGGCCATAGTCTCGGGGGTTCCACCAGTCTCTAACAAACCAGTAAGTCTGGTCTTTTTTATGAATTTGAGTTTTGTTCTATATTTTTCTCCCACTTTGTCCAGGACCGTCTATTGTGATCCCCATCAGAGCCATCAGTGGTGGTAGATGGGCACCATCTAGTTCTTTTGGTGGCAGGTTAGTGAATGCTGTGGTTCATGTGGTCCATTAGTCCTCTGGACTAATTGTTTCCTTAAGTCTTTTTCTTCACTCTTATTTGCTCCAGATGGGAAGAGACCAATAGTTGTATCTTAGATGGCCACTCACAAGCTTTTAAAACCCCAGACGTTACTCACCAAAGTAGGATGTAGAACATTGTCTTTATGCACTATGTTATGCCAATTGACCTAGATGTCCCTCAAGACTATGGTCTTAAGCCCTCAGGCCCAGCGACCCAGTCCCTCAAGGTGTTTGGTTATAGCTAAGAAGTTTTCATAACTTTGCCACTGTGTGCTCTACTATATCCATGGATATAGCTGCAGTGCATACAAATATGTATGTAGAAATATCCTCTGCCAAACCTATATATGCTTGTGGGTGTACTCCCATATGCCATCCCACACCTGTTCAGCTTACATATCTACCTATGTATCTACTGTATAATATTGTTATTACTGCTATTGCAGGATTGTGTATCTAATAGTATTCACCATTGTTACCTTTTACGTACCTCCCAAAGTCTTCCTTAGCCTTGGTCATGTTGTGCTGACATCTCCCTTGTCTTTCCCTTCACCCAATTTAATACGTCTACTCTCTAGTTGGTGATTTTCCCTCCTTCCCCGTCCCATCCCTGGTAGCCATCAAAGAATGTTTCTTTCTGTGTGTAAACCTTTTCTTGACTTTTTATAATAGTGGTCTCACACAATATTTGTCCTTTTGTGATTGACTTATTTCACTTAGCGTAACGTCCTCCAGGTTCATTCATGTTATGAGATGTTTCGCTGATGGATCATTATTCTTTAACATTGCATAGTATTCCATTGTGTGTATTTACCATAGTTTATCCATTCGTTTGTTGATGGGCACTTAGGTTGTTTCCATCTTTTTGTTATTGTGAATAATGCTGCGGTGAACATGGTGTGCATATATCCATGTCACGGCTCTTATTTCTCTAGGATATATACCTAGTAGTGGGATTGCTGGGTCATAAGGTATCTCTAACTTTTTAAGGAAGCGCCTATCATTTTCCACGGTGGTTGTAAAATTTTACAATTCCACCAGCAGTTTATGAGAGTTCCAATCTCCCCACACCCTCGCCAGCATGTTGTTTTGGTTTTTTTGTTTTTTATCATTGGCATTTTTGCCAGGGTGAG